TCCATCCATCCATCCATCCGTCCGTCCATCCATCCCTCTGTCCTCTACTTCATCCATCCCTTCATCTTCTTCTCCATCCATACTTTCCATCCATCTGTCTTCTCCTTCCATCCTTCCTTCCTCTACATCATCCATCCTCTTCTCCATCCCTCCATCTTCTTCCATCCCTCCTCTCCATCTTCTCCATCCATTCCTCTTCTCCATCCCATCTTCTTCTCCATTCATCCCTCTTCTCCTTCCATCCCTTCTCCATCCCTCTATCTTCTCCATCCATCTTCTCCTTCCATCCCTCCATCCATCCTCTTCTCCATCCCATCTTCTTCTCCATCCATCCCTCCTCTCCATCCATCCATCCATCCTCTTCTCCACCCCTCCATCTTCTCCATCCCTCCCCCTCCTTACCCACCCACTGCTCCCCCCAACCCAGCACCTCCCTTCTCCCAGCTGCTCCATCCCTCTATCTTCTCCATCCATCTTCTCCTTCCATCCCTCCATCCATCCTCTTCTCCATCCCATCTTCTTCTCCATCCATCCCTCCTCTCCATCCATCCATCCATCCTCTTCTCCACCCCTCCATCTTCTCCATCCCTCCCCCTCCTTACCCACCCACTGCTCCCCCCAACCCAGCACCTCCCTTCTCCCAGCTGCCACCTCCTCACCCACCTCACCCACCTCACCACCCTTTTCCAGATGACGTCGGCCACCAAGGTGTACTACAGCCAGACCACGCAGACCGACAGCCGCCCGCTCATCGGCTCCCCCGAGGGGGGGAGACGGGGGGTGACCCGCCAGCCGCCCGCTCATCGGCTCGGGGCTGCGGCGACGCCGGGTGATGACCAAGGATGGTCGTAGCAACGTCAGGATGGAGCACATCGCCGACAAACGCTTCCTGTACCTCAAGGACCTGTGGACAACCTTCATCGACATGCAATGGCGGTACAAGCTCATCCTCTTCTCCGCCACCTTCGCCGGCACTTGGTTTGCTTTCGGTGTCATCTGGTACTTGGTGGCCGTGGTTCATGGTGACCTACTAGAGTTTGATCCACCAGCCAACCATACACCGTGTGTCATGCAGGTCCACACCCTCACCGGTGCTTTCCTCTTCTCCTTGGAGTCTCAAACCACCATTGGTTACGGTTTCCGTTACATCAGTGAGGAATGTCCCTTGGCCATCGTCCTCCTCATCACCCAACTCGTCCTGACCACCATCATGGAGATCTTCATCACTGGTACCTTCTTGGCTAAAATCGCCCGACCTAAGAAACGGGCTGAGACCATCAAATTCAGTCAGAACGCGGTGGTGGCTCAACACAACGGGAAGACCTGTCTGATGATCCGAGTGGCCAACATGCGCAAGAGTCTCCTCATCGGCTGCCAGGTGACGGGGAAACTCCTCCAGACCCACCTGACCAAGGAAGGTGAGAGCGTTCGCCTCAACCAAGTCAACGTAGACTTCCAAGTGGACACTTCATCTGACAGCCCTTTCCTCATCTTACCCCTCACCTTCTACCACGTGGTAGATGATGACAGTCCCTTCCGTGACGTGGCCCTAAGGACGGGTGAAGGTGACTTTGAGTTGGTGGTCATCCTCAGTGGTACCGTGGAATCCACCAGCGCCACGTGCCAGGTGCGTACGTCCTACCTGCCCGAGGAGATCCTCTGGGGTTACGAGTTCACTCCGGCCATCTCCCTCTCGGCCAGCGGGAAATACGTGGCTGATTTCAGCCTCTTTGACCAAGTGGTGAAGGTGACGGTGCCGTGTTGTCTCCACGAGACCGTCCGGTTTGGAGACCCCGAGAAGGTGAAGCTGGAGGAGTCGCTGAGGGAGGCGGCGGAACGGGAACAACGGGAGGGAGCCCCCCTCAGTGTCCGCATCAGCAACGTCTGAGCGCCCACAGGAGGTGACACCAACCCCCCTGGAGGTGACACCAACCCCCCTGGAGGTGACACCAGTCCCTGGAGGTGACACCAG